AAACAGGAAATGAGCCAGTTAACAAACACATGCTAACTGATCGTGCACGCATGCTTAGAAATTTCCCTATTTAACCTCCCTGCAGCTCATTACAATACATGAAGTTCCTGTCTCACAACAGGTAATTCCATCTGCTCTATGTTCATAAATAAAAAACATACATATGGTTATTTTTATTTCTAGGTTGCTGCTAGAATATTTAATCTAACCAATTAATTTAAAGATTGACTTATTAAATACACAGTAACACATATATATAACAGTAATGGTACCTACACCACCACAAACTGGTAATTTCATAGAACTAAATAAAATACTGTTTTAATTTTACACTACTAATACAGATGAAAAGCACATTTCTGATTGAAAGTTTGTACTTACAATATAACATTTAATTTTGGCTACATAATAAAGCTCCACTCCAGTAATAAAAAGTATTCACATCAGTCTCCTTAATATTATTCCTGAAATGTATTTTATTTTTTGCTGAACTGAAAAACTATGTATGTATTATTGCATTGCTTCTAAGATTAAAAATACATGCAAAAATAAAAATGGATTAAATCTATTTAAGTGAGCTGAAGGAGACAGTGGAACAAGGACAATTTTTAAAGAAAGCTTGTTACCTAAATCTCTTTATCTTTCAATTCCTTTACACGTTCTACAGTATAGCTCTCCAAGCACATTGAGATTGATTCACCAGATTCACTATCATGTCCTATACTGGGAATCTCTGAATGCGGACACTGCCACTCATACCAAAACTGATTGGGCAACCTACCACAGGGCATGAAGAGACAGATTAGGAAATCATGTGCTCACTGCAGCAAATACAACATTTACACAACATCCACAGTTCTTTCATCGAGAGGCAAAAATATAATTTCACCATGATTATTTACAATACACATATCCTGCAACCAAACCTGCACACAGAAGAAAGCATTTTAAAGTCTATTTAATGACAGTGGCTCCCTATTTAAATGCTGAATGCACTGTATGTTCAAAGGGCACATGATGGTGTGGTAGAGACCCTGACCCTTTAAGAATTAGCAGTTACTGAAAATGGATGGGTATATTTATTTTCAAATTCAAGTAAAACACTAATTAGCTTTCCTTCTAATAGTTGCACCTGGTTCACAGGTTCGTTGTTCTCTAGCATAAAGAAAATCAATACAATTTGCACTATTCATCCCCAACGGACAGTGTATGTCACAAGTCCAAAACTTTTGCTGTAAAAACTAATGAGAAAATTCTTTAGTCGTTTTATTTTTTTGTCAATCAAAAGCTAACAGTTTCTTGGGATTATGGAAAAAAGCATAAAGGTAATCAAGAAAATAGTGTCACAAGGTCTCATTTACAGCCACCAATACCAGAACTGCTTTCAACTTTTTTGTATTGTAATACATTATTGAGAGAATGTGACCTGCCAGCAAACAACTACATTCCGCGCTTCGATATCAGAACATACATAAGAATATAATCAATACAGGAACAGCTAAGAAAACATTTTTTTTGGAGGTGCGTTTAACATGATAAACTGTATTGTGGCCCCATGTAGTACAGACAGGAGGCAAAAATGCCTTCCTGTGTACGTCAGCTTTACACACCGTCCAGACTTGTTTTGGTATGGTGGTGAATTGAAGCTGGGGTAGAAATCTGTATTATTATTGAAACCGAACACTACATTTAAGGACCTAATTCCTTTCATTGGTCGTAGTATTGTTATAAACCTCTTGCGCGATGTTGCCTGTGTGTGTGTGTGAACCCAGACTACTCCGAAACTGGGAAAACACCGAAATCTAATCGGAATTTAATGGAAGTTTGACTTCCGCTCAAAACTTTTCCAGGACCCGCGGGACGATCCCGGTCTTTTTTTTTTTCCCCGTAACGAACTTCCTTCTAAAAAAAGCTATGAAGGCCGTGAGCTTACCCGAGTCGCTTTCCATCCCGGAGACGGTGATCGGCCGAGGTCCCACAGGCTCAGGTGGAAGACCGGTGCCCGAGTTTCTGGTACCCGTCCTAAGTGCCCGGTTCGCAGCCTCCACACAAACCACCTCTGCCGGTCTGCCCTCAGTCCCAAACCCCTCCTCTGTCCCGCAGGCCCCGCCCGGAGAGGCGGGGAATGAGACAACGCAACACTTTTCTCAGCTTTTTGTCTTTTTAATACTTCATCACCAGAATTATGAATGCGACATAAACGTTGTTTTTTAATTTTACGGTCCCTCCACTGGCGCACTCATAGTTATTTTCTGGGTGGGTGGGTGTATTGCAGGAATTATTTTTCTTTCATTCGTTTACTGCTACATCTACTACAAGTGTGTTTTAATATTTTAGTAAAGTTTTATGTGGAAAGATGGGTTTAATTTGAATGAAACATGGATGAATACACAGTTGTTAGTCAAATTAAACGGTTTCCGGCCTGTGTGTAACGGTCGAGGGGGGAGCCGTTAAAATGTCCGTTATTAACGGCCGTCCCGAGCGCTTTTATGCTTCAGAATGTGTTCAGTTTCCAACCTTTGGAAGTGAACTTCAGTTAAAAATCAAGAACTTGCCATAACGGTGAAAAGTCATTTTGGTTCATTCGGGCGATAGAAATGTAAGATATTAACATTTTTTTTTAATTGCAAGAATCTGAGAGAGCCACAGAACCTCTCCAGCGAGGAAAATCCGGTGGTATCATATTAATATAAACTGTGGAAGAAAGTCTAAAAAACAGATTAGATCATTTCTATTTCTATCTTTCTATAAAATATATTTTATAGAAATTTCTAGGGCAATTTTTTAGGAAGCTTTTGTGCCCCTGGTAAAGTTTTTACAGCACAACAGTGTTCGCTAGAACATAAAACCCGCTTTTACTGCTTAATAACGTTATGCAAATACCCCTGTGCTCCCTGTAACACACCGTGCCTCTTACCATGCATTTATTCAATACCAAATATGAATTTCAAATGCAATGTATCGAGATTAGTTCATTCTGGCAGGGATTAAATCCAGAATTACAGATTACAACAGCCCTATTTCTGATACTTAAAATGTTCAGAAGATCTTGGAGAGTTTGTAACCTAGTCCTAGAAATTAAAGACAGCGGTGCTGATATTACTTCCCTGTGCAGCGGTGAAGTTTTGTTTTAAATACACTGAAGTCATTCATTACAGTGGCTATCTGGTAACATTACATTTCTGTAAGAAGTATCCATTATTTCATATATAGCGGCGAGAGAAACAGGGTGGGTTTTAATATTACGCAATCCACTTCAAGATTCCTCTTAGTTGTTGACATCTTGCAGTTTTCTTTTTACTGTACGTGCGCTATTTCATTGCTTAAAAAAAAAACCCTTTTCAGATCTGTAAACTCTCCAGGAAGTAACGGGTACTGGAATTGGAGGTCTGCTCGGTAGTTCACCTTTGCTTGTTTAGAAATTCACTTTTTTTCCCCCCCTCTGGAAGAGAAAGTTCCGGGAGGTGGATCACTCGCTTTTATCATCGGTGATTAACGAAAAAGCTGGTGTCCTTTGGACAGAGTCCCGAAGCTCAGCCACACTCCGCGGGTGGCGCTTGAAGATAGGTGAATCCTAACGTTGGAAATAAGCAAGTGTTTTTTTATTTATATATAATTGATCGGTTTTGTTTGTTTTGAACCGCGTTGACAGTGTCAAAGACCTTTCCCTCTAGTTGACCCTCACAGAAGAAGGATATTTGCGAATCCCACGTCCCGCGTCTGTAGGGGAATGTGAATGATCCACCGGATCGAGAAAGACAGATAGAGGTAAGTCATATTCAGCACTCCCAATACAAGTAGCTGGAGTGGACCAGTACAACACACTGGTATTTAAATTGCGATAAAGTATGAGCTCAGGTGTTTGTTTGTTTGTTTCAGGGACGCCCGTAGAAAGATCCCACACGGGAATATCAGCTCTTCTTGACACGCAATGTTGCTTTCGGATCAGTAACCAAAACATTTCAACAGGTTTATACTGTATAAATGGCTGCACTTACTGTATATGCTGTAGGTTTGAGCCGGTCTTGGGATCGAGTTAGAATGAAGGATTGTAAACTTCATATTTCTGTTAACCGCTCCTTGGTGGTTTCTAAAATCGCCACTCTGACGTCTTTACAATATAATCCCGGACAGATCAGATTTTCCTTTTCAAGACACAACACGGATATTAATAGACGGTGGATTAAGTTTGAAATGAAACGTTTTAAGACTGTAGCAAAGAAACGAAAGCAAGAAAGTGCATTTTAGAAATAGCTCAATTCTGTTTGGCAAGAAACGTTAAAGAGTTTGTATTTTTCAGCCCATATTTTAGTTTGTCGAGTGAACGTACAGTACAAGTATGTTTTAAGTTTTAAGAAACGGTCCATATAGTCGTGTATATTTGACAACTCTGGCCAGCATTGGGTACAGGAGTTTATATTTTTGCAGAATCTTGACGCCCATTCATAACTAGTTCTCACTAAAGCTCAGATTAATTTAATTAGATTACATCTGTTTACGGTTTAACTGGATTTGCAACAATTCATTCCGTGATAGCCGGAGCAACACATTCACATTGAAGTGACAGGTGCACCTGTTCTTACGAGATGTACTGTTATCTGAAGTGGAAATGTTAGAAAACACAATATATAATTATAAAATCAATAAAAACGAGTTTTGTAAGTGTATTCTAAATTTGGTTTTCTAATGATCAACACATTCTGAATGTATTCATAAATATTTCAGATAAAAAAACTAAATAAATCATTAATTGGATTACTGTCCAAAATAGAAAACATACTGTTTAAGACTGATCCACAGTCATGATATAAAAGGAGTACATTTCTATGTTAAATAGCAGCAGAGGAAAACAATGTTGTCAGTACATTAACTGTAACAACACTGTTAATACTGTTTTTATTATGAAAGCAAAATTTGATAACTTGTGAATTAAAGATAATTTATGAATTATATCATGTCTCAAGATAAACGTGTTGAAGTAACACTAGCTGATTAAAGAGATACTGCTCTGTATTTGTTTAAAGTCTGTGATTAAGGTATTGTATTACTCATTTGTTCATGAATCAGTGTTATGACCACAGAGGTCAGTTTCAGAAAGTTTTATTTGGATGTATTTATTCCATTCCAAATAAGAGTTTCAAATGTAATGAATTGAGATTACAATCTGTATACTTCACCAGCATTTGGATCTATTTTAATTCCAGAATTCCTCTTTCTATTCTTTAAAGTATTTAGAAGAGCTTGAGAAATTTGCAACCTAATCCTACAAATTCTGACTGTTATGTCGTGAATACTTCCTGGAACAGCGGTTAAGTGTTGGAAATTTGAAAAAGTAACCATGTAATTTACTCATGATAACTAGCCTAATTTTATCATGTTTACCAAAGACACCAAGGAATTGCAATGTAAAAGACAAGCAAATTTGCTTAAGAATGCAGTCAGTGTACAAGTATTTAATGGAATATAGCTTTATGTGGAGTAAGATACAGTATCTTACAGCACTGTACAACTCCACTATCAAACTCTCATATTGAGTCATCAAACTTTGGAATCTGCTGTAATTCTTGGATCTTTAATCCAACAGTGAAAAGCTGTGTTTCTTATTCCTGTTGGCCAAATCTGAGGCAATAAGGTGGAACTCTGTAATTGTTCAGACACAAAATAGCAAAAAATTAAGAAAGCAGCATGTTAGCTGTACACACAAGTATAACATTCATTTCATGATGTGCTGTGTGCTGTGGTGTTTGTCAAGGCAATATCGGTCTGTCCCAAATGTTAGCCCTCACAAAGAGTATAGGGAAGAGGGGGGCACGTTTTTGTGCAGAACTGTTTGTTTAATGTCGGTCTGCGCTTGTGGTCCTAGTGATAGGCAGGGGCGAGGGAAATGAATAAGTACATTAGGCTTTTTAGAGTAGTGTTTATCTCAAACTTCAGGTGCTGTGGCTTTGAGTCGGGAGCTGTGTCAACAGGACACCCCTTAAGAGGCTCCATAGCCCAAAACATTGTTCTTTCTTCCTGCTTTTCAGCACAGAACTGAACTCTGCTTCTTTCCACAAGCCTTTTGTAAGAAATTTATTCTATTTACATTATTTTGAGGCATTTAAATGTTTGCCATTGTATGTTATTCATTTTTGCTTTGTTTGCTTATTAAAACCATATTTTAACTGATCCAACACGAAGTCCACTAGGTAACTGAATCCAAGGGTGTAATGTCTAATGTCTTCACTAATTTATGAGTTTTAACTGCTAATTAAGGTGGCTAAGCACTATGCAGCTTTCATATCTAGATTTAGATCTTCTCTCACTGCTGTCCGCTTTTCCCCTCTAACTTTTACAGTCCTGTCTGCAATTTTCTCCTTATCTCTCTGTGCCAGGAAGTAACGAACTTCCTTGATCGATACAGGGGACAGTAAGCTGTGGGGCTTGATTAAACCCAAGACAAGTTCAAAACTCACAGACACACATTGCAGTGAACACAGAAATAGATTGCTTCTCCATAAAGAGACCTTTTCTGCCAACAGGCTGGCACTGTCTTATTCGCTGCAGGGCTGCTGACATTGAAGCTATTCTGAAATTGGATCTCCTCATTCATTTGTAATGAATACATGTGAGGGGAATAGGGTTACCGTCTGAATTCAGACAGGGATGTGCTCCCAGGTATGAGTATGTTTTTTTTTTTCTAGAAGCGTGTATTTCAATTCTCTTTGTTCATGTCTAGGATTATGAACATGAGAATTTAAGCAGAATTATCAGAAGTGTGAAATCTCTGAGACAACAGAAAGTGCTTGTCCCGAGCTGTGTGTTTCAGAGTTCTCTTTCTGCAATGTCCAGGGCCTGCTGCAGGAATTGGATGGGCCTGCAGGGGTCAGTGCTGAGACCCCTGTGATTGGCTGGTGTGTGATCGCCCGGTGCAGCCTTATTCCAGGCCCTTGGGTCCTGGAAAGAAGATGACATACTGAGGGAGGAAAAGACTGGAGACAGCGAGGGAGGAAGGCTCAGCCATGTCCTACTACAGCCAGGGTGGTGTCCTGAACCCTGCGTACCACCAGTCTGAGACCCTGGAGATGGACAGGAGGTGGGTCTGTGTGGCATTTAGGAGGACAGAATCTCTGGTTCTCATCAGAAGAAACATTCATACCCCCTAGTTATTGCTGTGTTTTTTATTTTCACTGACTACGTTTTTAAAAATATTATTACGCTCTTACCTTCCTTGGTTGGGTCTCCCTTGTAAAACACATTTCAACCCCTGTGTGCCTCCCTTTAGAAATAAAATTTAAATTGAAACATGTTAGATTATGAGATATTACAGAAGGTTACAGAAATTTGTCACATGATTCCCGAACAGATCATATCCGGTAGTTTACTGCCACTACCAGGATCTAAACTTTTTCCCACCCCAGATCCTGTTTATATGCAAATAAAGAAAGAGGAAGAAAAAGGGAATTTACAGTCAATTTCCTGTGAAGGACTGGATAAACGATGTCATGGTTTGCCTTTCCATTTTTAACGATTAATTTTGGAAGGATTTTAACAATTACATTTGAAGACCCTCAGAAAGGTACTTGTTTAGGGCAGACAAGAACTTTCTTCATTCACAAGGCATTTGGATAACCAGAGCTGATCCCCTGATCCCTTCGGGGTTTGTTGATCTCTTATAACCAGCTTGTGCTCCAGGCCTGGAGACCTTTGACCAATCATTGAAAGAGCTTGTTCAAATAAGTTAATAAGGCATACAGTGTAATGAAGAAAAGGGAGATCCTGTAGCCTTCATTGACTGAAATTGCTCCCCTCGCACTTGGCCACTGTTCTCCAGTCACCTGAGCTCCAGTGCACTGCATTGCACACCCCAGAACCTCAGTGGGGCTACCCCCAGGACTGCATAAGGAGGCAGTTCCTCTTCCTGTCTCTGCAGCTCCTCCAGGACGGCTCAGCCCCTGAACCCGTATGACAGCAGTGGCCCGGGAGGGCAGCGGGACAGGGGCGCTGGTGGCTTGAGCAGCACTGGGATGCTGCCACCCTACGGTGAGGAGGGGGGCTATGACACCCTGCCCATGAGACCCCTGCCACCCCAGACTCGCCCTCCCCTGGAACACCGAGGACAGAGTGAGTGAGACTAGTTGTAGAGAGGTGTTAGGATGAACTGTAGGAAACGCAGACTGCAGAGAACCAACCTGCACTCGTCTTAAATCATCCTCATGAAATCCTTTGTGTTTTCTTCCTAATACTGCAAGTTCTGTACTAACATACAGAAAGTTAAGACAGTGATCTTATTATAGCTTAAAGTATGGTTTCTTTTCATACTGTTGCATTATTCCACATGCATAATGCACATATGTATTATGTCATTTGGCCACAGATTTATTCCCCAGGTCACCCTATATTCCTGTAGCTCCCTTACACAACAGCTGGCCATGAGACAGTCTAGACTGTCTCTTTCCTGTTCTAATAATTAAGAGAAAGGTGGACTGCTGCAGAAAATGGCAGCTGGCTTTCAAAGCTACCCCCGAGAGAATAATTAACAAAGACATCTGTGCCTCTGGACATACGAAAGGCAAAGCTCAAATTAAAAATACAGCTGTCTGACAGTACTATTAAGACTGGGCGGATTAGTAGCAATTTAAACTACAATCTAAATTGCTTCAGTTCACAGGAGTACGTTTATTTTCTGTGTAAGTAAGCAGGGCATTATAAAACCCTGTTTATTCATCTTGAGTGAAGCGAGATGTGATCCTCTGGGGTTTCAGGGTCTTAGCATAACACCAGTTCTTCTACTGTACAGGGCACTCACACAAGCCTGTAGCCATGAAAGAGTGTAGCTATAATGTATAGCTATACGTCACTGAGTTCTGCAAGAAGATTAATGGATGAGATACTCTGGTGTTCTTCATTGCTGGTGTTAAGGTTATAGCCATTTATCTCTTTCACATGCAGATCTGCTGACCCACATGTCTGTGCCTCTCTTTCCTCAGCCAACCGAGGGTTCGAAAGGGACTCTGTGATAGAGTATAACTCAGGCCCACAGGACTGGTATCAAGGCAGACACCACGTTGATTACCAAGACCAGCCTGATTATTCACGGAGAGGTGGGGATCGAGACCCTTTGCGGTGCTGGTCTATCAATAATATCCGTTTTTAACATGAACAGATCTCAAGAGTGGGTTTAGTTACCACAGGTGCACAACACTGCACAGGAGACTGTTGGAGCAGGTGTGAAAAGAAGCCAGGTCATTTTAAAGGGTGTCTTTGGACTTACAGAGGCAGACGTGATAAATCTTAGAACTTCAATGACCTGGATACATGTCCAAAATGTGGCCTTCCCAAAACAAACATTCTGCTTTCCCCTCATTAATGATTAACTGTAACTGGGCTAAACCACAGGGTCTCACCCTCTTGCAAAACAAATACAATAAAGTCATTCATTAGTATAATGTAGTATAGTATAATCAAATATGGGGGTGTTTATTTATCAGTGAGATATTATTTTATTAAGTGTTTCTCCAACATTATCCCCCTGTCTTGAAATAGCATGGTTCAACATGTGTCATTTTAACATACCCTGTCAGCCCAAGCTAGTCTGTCATTTTAAATGTGTGTTGTGCTGCCATGGAATCAGCTTTCACCGTGATGAGCAAACAGTAACAGCAGGAAACACAACATACCTTCCTGGTTGTGCAGTTAATTTAGGAGGATAGAATTACTGACGGGATTACAGACATAGTGTACGTCAGTGTCATTGTCCACCTGATTTCCACTAAAGTGATTAAGCTCTGTGCACTTATTTTCAATTGGCATAGTGATAATCACTTCAAAATGTACTGTGATGGCACGTCCATTTGTGTTTACTTAATAACAGTAAATAATATTATGAGTCAGACATTCCTAATGTGCAAAGATCAAATATTTAAACCCTGTAGCTCTCAAAAATAAGTCTTAGTAAGTCAGTGATGAATTTATTGTGAATAAAAGGTAATGGATTCATGTATTTACTATATTAAATGTTAAAACTGCCTTTTTACATTTACATTTCCTAGAAAAGCAATATTGCATGTATATGCGGAATATGTTCAGAAATGTATACTCCCTGCCTTGTAGAGGGCGGTGCCCTGCGGCGGAGAGCATCCCGGAGAAGGAGCCTGTTCCCTGCTGGCACCCTGAGTGCCACAGCTCTGGGCAGACTGGGGCTAACTGCAGAGGACTTCCGGGAGGAAATTGAGAGAGGTACGTCCTGCTGTACTGCCCTGAGCCCGCCAAGCTGAAGCCGAGTTTCAGGAGACTCTGCAGTTCCTGTGGGGAGTGTCCCAGTGCAGTACAGGGAAACAGGCCTGTTACGCTGCGAAGATCTAAAGTGAGTGATTAGAATAGTCTCCTGTCCTTAAGCTGTCCATTTAGAAGGTGTTGGTGCCTCCAGGTTTTGGGTACATGAAAAATAAAAGATATCATCATTCATATCACGTCACAACTGATATTGTGTCCCAAAAATATATGCTCCTTATATCCGATGTTTTATTGAATGCAAATTGAGTGTACACTGTACTAGTAAAGGAATGCTTTGTGTTTCATAAATGCCAGCACCTACTAGCTATTTCTCTTGAGTAATTAAAAGCAAGTGTACAGTGAAGAACATTGTTTTTCTGGGGTAAGCTCTGCATCCGAAGCGCACAGCCGCAGTAACTTTCAGAACAGAGACAGGTGAAAAGCAATGAGGTTAGTGAAAGCAGGAATTCTTGTCAGTATGACTCAGCATTGTCATGGTAAGCTGCATGAGTCCAGTACGTGCATTTAGGAATCCTTAGCTGGAGTAGCCCAGAGGGCTAACATTGTCCTGAAGCCCACTAGTCCCCTTTCCATAGAGGAGCAAGACCTGGTGACTGAACTGGCAGCCAAGTCCATCAGAGACAGAGTCCGAGCTATCCGCCAGCTTCCCATGAGCCTCCAGGACAAGAGCCACATCAGGTGGGTCATGTTAACAAACTATGGGCCAAAGTGCGATCACTAATGTATTACTTTGTATTTATTACTATGTTTAGTTACTTATTAAAGCCATTAAATGCTCACCACTGTTGCTTCTTTTTCATAATAAATGCTGGAAGGCTATATATAAATGCAAAATAAAGACAGAAATTGTCTGCATCAATACCTGTTATCACAGATAAAGAACAATAAAGTCCCATCACCATACCCAGGAGTGTGTATTTGTAAATACAATGCAGTCTAAACCACTGCAGAATGTGCCTCAATAAAAGATGCATTGTAGAAAAGTTTGTTTAGCTTCAAGGATATGATGCTGAAAACTAAAAATAGCAGAAAACACATTTTTATTTATAAAATGTATCTCTTCAGTCACCAATGGCAGCACTTTTCTCACTAGCTGATGACCTGTTACGCAGTGTGCTAGGTTTAATATTCATTCACATTACCACAAATCTTGGACATAATGATTAAATGGCAGAAACAATTACTTGAGGTCTCTAACCAAGCTGTAGTTAATGTGTCACATACAAATATTTGAGTTATAACCACAGAACTAGAGCACACTGGAAATGAATATTAATGCATTATTACATTGGCCAGTGTTTTGTAGTCAAAACTAATTAGATCTGCCATTTATTTAGTGATGGTGTTTAAATAGTGCAATGTATATATGCGTCTTCTACTTAGAGCAACATTTAAACCTTCATATTTAAATGATCAATTTAATTAATGTTATAATAAAAACCTTAAATCATTTGTAAGACGCTATAAATTAAAATCCCACCATAGTAACAGAGGAATTGTAAACAGAATGCTTAATCATCTGCTGTTGTTCCGTTTGGATCATGTGGCTGAGGAGCGCGGCTACAGTCACAGGCAGCAGGCACGGCACAGTCCCAGCACCCCCTGACTCATGTTCACGCTGCTCTTCCTAGGAAGCAAGTGCTCCTGCTCGTCACATCCAAGAGACGGCTGCAGCTGACCTGCTGTACGGACTGCACCGAGAGCGTCTCCTTGGTGAGGCCCTGCTCTGCCACATGCAGGACTGCTCGTTCCTTCAGGAGATGAACATTTACTAGACCTAGATACAGCGTGTCATACCTCTCGGCCTTGTGTGATTCACTGAGAGTCATCTCCAGTAGGACTCTGTCACTCTGTTTTATTTCCTCACTCTTTCCATTCCGGTCCCAAGTCTCCAGGAAGGCTTTTCTCAGTAAAACGTTTGCAGGGCTCAAAAGCTGCTAGCCCACAAGCTGTACCACTAACAGTCCCTCCTCTGCCCCTCTCTCCCTTGCAGTTCTTCCGCAGGCTTGGGGGACACCTGTCCTCTGTGCGGCAGGCTCTGGAGCTGTGGAGCGGCACCCTCAAGGAGATCGGGGGCAGGTTCGGCTCCAGCGTGCTCTCCTTCTTCACCTTCCTCAAGTGGCTGCTCATGTTCAATGTCTTCTCCTTCCTCATCAACTTCGGCTTCATTACCGTGCCCCAGCTGTTGGAGCCGCCAGGAGGTCCCAACGTGTCGTTCCGGGGGCTGGAGATCCTCACCGGGTCTGTGAGTGCCGCGTCTCTGATCTGTTGTGTACCCCGAAATCGTCTGACTCAACACGCAACGCAGAGCTCATTTAAGGGCTGCTGGGATGTTTACAGATACAGCATCTTCAGGCATTTTCATTTTGAGTTTCAGCCTGGAATTGATTAGAAAGAGGGGCCAAAGCCCAAAATTAATTTATATCCACATTTTGGATCTACTGCCACCCCTCTACAACAGTCCCTGACAGTTCAGCATAAATGAAAGAATGAGGAACGTAGCAGCTCTTTTGAAAGAGTTTGACTTGCATGTTGGAAAAATTAAACCGTTTTAATCTCCTTTTCCATGTGGTTCAAGATCCCTGTCCTTCCTATTCAAGATGAGATGTCTTTCCTCAGGGTTATTTCAGCTACACCGTGCTGTATTATGGTTACTACAGTAATGGCTCAGTGTCGGGGAGCAGTGCCGGCAGCAGCCAGAATAGCACCCTGCCACAGTACGACATGCGGCTGGCGTACTTCTTCACCATGGGCACCTACCTGGTGCTGTGTGGTCTGTGCCTTGTCTACAGGTCAGTCCATGTGTTGGAACTCTATGGAAAAAAAATTCTGGGAATGCTTACGGTTTTGATAACGGTTGTCAATTCAGAAAATAGAAATTCGTAATGTTTTAAACAAATTATAAGTTTTATAAAACCCAAATGAAGAAGACGGGGATTATTTAAAGGAGTTCGACAACAGGAGCAACTCCTTTGCAGACTGTAGACAAGCCCAGCTCTGTAAATACCAGACTTACTGGGTGTATCAAAGACCTACGTGTTAATGGGCTAGAAGATCTGAAAATGAACTGCCCCTGTCAGACAGATTCTTCTAGATTCTTACAGCAATACCACAGAGGGGTGCCACCTGCTTACCCCTCCATCCTTCATCTCTGTCCTCCGGCAGCGCGGCGCGGTCCTTCCGGGAGAACTTCATGCTGGGAGGAGAGCTGTCGGGCCGTGCCTGGCGCCTGCTGTGCAGCTGGGACTTCAGCGTCGTCAACGAGAAGGCTGTGCAGCTGCGGCAGAGGAACCTGCAGATTCAGCTCAAGGTGACACATCAGATCGGCCACCCTCCCCAGGATTCAACCAGCTCTTCAGAGAACACCGTCACCTTTTCTCAAATGTTGTGGTACAGGTGAAACCTGTCGATAAGCAGTCTTGACAACTGAGACATGCAAATGACATTGCTTCCGCAGTCTGAATTCAAGTCTGGCTTTTTTCAGCAGCATCAAATAAAAGTGACCCCAACATGCTCCAATAAACCAGAGGACTTAGAATAAAAAAGAAAGAACTTACTCTGATCAGCAGCGATTTAACTGAAATTTCCCTCCCAAGACAAGAGAAACAGAAGGGAACATATTTCATTAGTTATCCTATACTGTCTTTATCATCTAAGTTTTGCTTTCTTTGCCTCCCAGGAGTCGCTGTCTGAAAGCGCCCAGAAACAGGCCGTGTCGTCCCTCTCCGAGAAGCTGTCTCACTTTGGCATCCACCTGGGCATCTGGCTCATCTCCTTAAGCCTGGCGCTGGGCTCCTGCGCTGCCGTTTACTTCCTGTGCCTCTTCAACCTCCAGGTGAGCGACCCTGCCAGGCTGCGGTGTCCACCAGCTTTCTTCCTGTCAGTAACCTTTCAAAATGGAATCAAGCATAATGCAGCAGAGTGAAATCATGTTAAGAGTAGGAAAAAGTGTGGTAAGAAGTAAAACATACCACAAGAAAGCAAAATAAACATATGGTATAAGCATGATGAAAGCTCTAACTCTAGAGCTCTCGGTCTATTCATATTTAATAGAAATTTGCTTAATTATCCGCGCCAGAGAAATTGTCCTCGTGTGTCTTTTTTACCGTTTATCCCGAAATACCAGGAAGCTCGGCTTCCGCTACCCTCCACCCACACCTGGCCTGACTGATGCTGTGCCCTGTCTTGCAGCTGATTGAGAACGCTCAGACCTCCAGCAGCCTGCAAGACGAGGCGTCGACCCTGCTGCTGCCCATCGTGGTGTCACTCATCAACCTGCTCATTCCGCTCCTCTACACTGTGCTCCGGAAGATAGAGCCCTTCACGGTCCAGCGCCACCAGATCTACACCCTCATCCTGAGGTCTGGGAGCTGCCCTCTTCACCCTTCCACCCACACCGTATCCCTTTCTCCTCTCCTCCTGCTGGTCCCTCCCATGAAGGCTGGGCACATATTCCTCATTCCACCCACTGTGCATCTCGGTCCTGCTGCCTGCATCATTTGCTCTTTTTCTCTGCTAGAATCAGGTTTTCCAAGGCTCTTTCGCAGATCTCAACATTCTCTGATCATTTGTGGAGACCTACGCTGCACTCGCCAGGCCGAATGAGGCGATTTAGTGCCGTGGAGAGAATCTTATAGCAGGAAGTGGTCAGGTAGAACATGGCAAACAATCAGATGAGCAGAGTCCAAAGCCGTCGCTGTAACAAGCCAGGTCAAGCATTTCACTGAGGTACCAGAAAGGAAAAAAAAGTCTGACGACTGAGTCCAAAGTACGAAAGCAGGCAGGGATCAAAGATACCGGAGGAAGTTACCAACAATAGGGGCAAGTCAGAGAAAGCAAAACAAACGAAACCAGGAGGTTAGACTAACACGCACCGAGCAGGATGTCAAGACTTGGGACAAACTGAGCAGAGAATTAATGCTGAGTCTGATCTTAAGTAGCGAAATAATTTAATTTCGTGCAGGTGGTACTGAATTCTTCTCAGATTAACTATGATAATTGTCAGTTTGCCTGATGGAAGTGGAGCTCTTTCAATTGCTGTGGCGTTTCGGATGTGCATAATATTTTTTTTTCCCAGGAGAGTGGGCATTACAAGTTAAGAACAGTTTGTACCTCGATTCCTTGATGTACCTTTCAGATTCACAACAGTCAGTCTCTCTGTCACGAATACTTTAAAAGAGAAATCCCCTGTTTTCCTCTGTTTTAGGAATGTCATTCTCAAGATGTCCATTGTTGGTGTGCTCTGTTACTACTGGCTGGAAAAAGTCACCAATTCAAAAATTCAGGTAACATAGAGGTCTGCTATAAGAGCTGTTGCTCCTCTGGATACTAGGAGTTGTTTCTTGAAAGAAGACTGGATAACACTTTTAAAAACACAGCCTTTGAATTTGTTTCCAGTCTTCCACAACCTTTTGCATAGAACGTTGCCTCTAATTCTCCTTCTATAACGTGTTGACTGGAAATGCACACAATATTTTGAATGTGGTCTTAACAGTGTGTTGCACAATAAGAAAATCCATGTTACTGTTTAATAAGTAGGCCAGTAAGTAACTACAGTGGACCAGTAGTAATTGTGGACCAGTAAGTGGCAGTCTTTCCAAAACCAATTCCCCATCATGGTAACCAGGTATACTGCTATGTAGGAGGTGCCATGAGTCATTAAATGAATTTAGATCCAAACTACAAGGCCATTAAAGACCCCATGACACTGTTTGTTATAGTAGGTATTTCCTGTCTGAAAGCAATTTCTTGCTTCTACACCTGAACTACTGTATAATAGAACTACTGGTGCATATGGCTCCCACTGTCAACAAGGAGGGTGCTGCATTTTAGTGGATGAAGAGAGCTCATTGTGTGGAGCTCGTTTGGATCATCAACACTATCTGCTAGCCATTTATAGCCATTTCATTTACATAGGATCTGTACAGAGTTTTCTTTAGCTCACCATATCCTCAGCCAAGTGTTCTGCTTACTGATTAACGTTTCCAGTTATTCACCTCTGCTTGGCCAGGCAGGATCCCGGATGTGTGTTGTTTTTGCTAAATAGGAAAGAGCTATAGAACCTTGTGTGACTGCATAATATAAAGAGGCTCTTCTATGGATCCGTACATTTAGCAGTAGCAAATGTTCTCACAAACAGTTCCTGATGCAGTGTATTTCAGTAGAGTGCACAGTACCCAGACATTGTCTCCCTAGTGTTCCGTAACGGCTTGTATGAAACTAATGACCTGTGCTGACCTGTTCCTGCAGTGTTGGGAATCCTTTGTAGGGCAGGACCTCTACCGACTCGTCGTCATCGACTTCTTCTTCTGTCTAATAGGCTCCTTCTTCGGGGAGTTCCTGCACAGGTGAGTCAATTCACTGCTGGGGAAAGGACAAACTTTATTCCCAGACAATTATGTTCTTTCTCAGTCAAGCTTAGATCAACACAGGTATGATTAGGTGTTTATCTAAACCTGGAAAACACTCGTGTGTTTTCTGGTTGTTATATTAACTTATAAATGATTATAACAGACATCCTAACCTATGCTCCCAAGCTGAGATCTCCTTTGGGATGACCTTTGTGTTTCACATGTGCTTTGCTTGTCAAACTGAACATTTGTACTCCTTACTGCTGCAGACCTATGAGCTCTGCTGGACAGCAGTGGCCTGTCTGAGAGCGCTCCTTCTGTCTCTCTCGCTTCAGGGTTATTGGGGTGCGATGTGTGAAGAGCCTTGGGGTTCCAGAGTTTGACATTGCACGGAATGTTCTGGACCTAATCTACGCTCAGACATTAGCCTGGTAATGTCTCTTCCCTGACTCCACCCCACTGGGAGTGCTACCTCCCAGTACTGACACTCTATTGACATTTCCTTAGAAATTCCAGATCAGAGGGAAGCTTGGAGACTACTGGTCCCCCAGCACCACTTATAGGAACAATTAGGTTTTCCTATAAGGCAGGCATGCTTAGCTTCTAATGTCTGTCAAAATGAGCAAGAAGGTGGTAATGATGCTGTCTGTTATATAGCCCATGGAACCTCAGTGAAATACCTACAAGAGCATGGCTATGTATCAGGAATTTATTAAAGTTAGTTATGTGTTAGAGATTAAGACATGCTGCTTTGCTTCCTAGAAGAAATGACCTGCTGTAGACTTTCATTGAGAAAACAATTCTCAATTCTCACTACTTCGTTGAGAATTTCTGGGGATTGTGCCTGGCTGCCAGAGAGGCTGTAACAGATAACTTACATCTCCAGAGTTGGATTACTTTGAAGGGCTGTTTTGCTGATGCACTGCAGACTGAACAGGCACATGCATTGGAATGGCATTTAAAAAGCTCATCTTTCTCCTGGCTTAGAGAATGTGGTACCATACAGTCCCTTTTGTAAAACCA